AGCAGAAGAGCCATTTTCATTTATTTTCAAACTGACCCATTTACTATCTATTATTTGAGAGGGAGAATATCTAAACTCTGTGCCTAGATGGAGCACATGAATTCTATGACTTTGATTCATTTATTCTTGTGGTCAAGTATAGGCCACAAAAAATAATATTAATAAAATACAATAAATTCGATCATCAGAAATGATGCGAGAATTTTGGCGAGGGGCTGGAACTCTTGATCCCCTCTCGTACACGCCCTTTCCTGACGCCCACGACATGCCAAAATGCACAAAATCTTCTTCCATCTTCTCAGATCCCCTCTCATACCCATTCTTCCTTTTACGATGGTACGAATGCGTACACTACGAGGTAGAAAAATGATAACTATATTTATTATAATGCTACCACGGTCGCTATTTCTAACGGGTGTCTGGCATCAACAACTCTAGAGAATGCTCGCTCGACCAAGAAAGGAGCACAGGAGGTGTGCGAACCGATTGGTGGGTCCATACTCGCACGTGTGGACGATGTGTAGAACAGTAAATACACATCCAATTACTTGCTTAGAATAGCCACCTAAAGAATATAGATTGATATGATAGTTCCCACTCATGATTGTATGTGGTTGCATCTAACCCCAGTAGCGGAGTCCCTTACTAAGTATTTCTCAGAATACTTAAGTCATGCGCTACTCTTATTTTCAAGGCTTCCATGTACGGCTGACGGTGACATCGCAACTCAAGAGACCATGACACATCAGTAGGGTAGTTTGCCATTTAAATTTGTAGTCTATAGGTTAGTATAGGTTAGTATGCATTTAAGTTTGTAGTCTATAGGTTAGTATAGAACATTTCCATTTTATTTTATTTCTAACTCCCCCAAATATGCTCACTTGGGGGACTGATTACTCTAGCTGTCCTTCCTGCTGCAGCAGTTGATGGAGAAGCATTGAGCAAGATAAGGAAAACCTTCTATAAAACATGTAAGTCCATGACTATGTATTTTATCGTAAAGTTTAAGTATTTCTGCATAAAATGACTATGATACGTATACAGTAGCGATTTTAAGTTAAGTAGAAATCTAGGGTTGTTACAGTTTGTGTCAGAGTTTTAGGTTACAAATTTTGTATACTAGGCTACAATGTAGGCTTGACATGGTCCATGGTCCAATCATCGATTCCTCGTCACAGTTAGGTACATGACGCACAAGATAAGAAAAGTAAATGTTTAAAAGGGAATTTACTACAATTTCTTCCTAGTATGAAATTTAATGTAACATTGAAAGTCACGAGCCATGATGATATCGTTGATTGTAGCATGACGGTTGATTTAATGTCACATTGATATGCTTGCTATGCTGTGTGATTATAATAGTGTGCGATATAATGTTATTTATATTAGTGAACTATAGACTTAAGAAAAATTATCTTGATTTCTAGAACCATGCCGGCCAAAGGACAAGGAAGAGAAAGACGAGAGAGGGGACGACCCCCTATTAGAGGTAGAGGAAGAGGTGAGGGTGAAGAGAGCTCACCTCGGGAAGGTTCATTCACTATGACGTCCTTCAAGACTTCTTGGTAGATGGCAACAAGAGTCATCCTATCCTCAAGCTCCTCAATGTCACCATGCTTGATGGTGTCCCACACACCTTGTACCTGTAAGTTGACACACATCTTTATCGACCATACTGCATAGTTACTCTTCGTGAGTAACGGGTACTCGAGCGTTGCACTCCCCTCCTTTATGCTGTTTATTGGCGTCATATCTCCTCTGGCGACTTTATGTGGTGACGACATTTGTTTCATCCTAGCTCTGATACCAAATGTTTGATGTAGTCCATTATCGAAATATGTCGAAACAAACAATTGAAGTAGAAAAAACAACTTAAGGGGAGACAGCTTTTTCGATAGAGGAACCTTAAGCAGTTATGCTTTTGAATTCTCTTTGTCGTGGAAAGAGCTTAAAGTAACCCCTAAATCTTAGTCAAGTTAAGAACTACTAACAATGTTACTAATTAAATCACTTGGTCCACAATTTGGGCAACTAATAACAATATTCCTATAATTTCTCTATAAGTTAGTAACTTCTTTAACTTATTCTAGTAAGTCAAGTTTATTAGCTCATCATAGGTTAGAAATCCCTAACGTCCATAATGGTATAATATTGTAGACTCTGATCCTAAGCTCTGGTGCCTTTGTTTTTTATTTCTCCAAAAGGCCTTGTATCAATGGAGATAATGTTCCTTACTTATAAACTCATGATTTTTCTCTTAATTAGCCAATGTAAGACTATTTCTTTCAATAATTCTCAACACAGTTTAGGGTCAACACACTTCATTGTAGTTCAGAATAAATATTTTGGGAGGGATTATAGAGTTTCTTGTTGTTTTATCTAGTTTTCTTGAAACTTTTTGTAAATTTTCTCAAGATTTTCTAAAAGAAAGTTTTATTTTAACCATGATTGGAGGGTTTTCAAACATATGTTATAACCATGATTGGAGGGTTTTCAAACATATGTTAGTTGAAGTTTTTGCTACATTACTTAGTTTATGTAAGTTGTGGAATCCTTATAGCCATTTGGGATTTATCAGCACGTCTTGGACTAGGTTATGGAATTCTTCTATTAGTTGAAAAGTGAATCTAAATCTTGTCACAATTATATCTCATTCATGATACAACAAGTTCGTACTTCGAATCTACAAAGAGCTGCGTGCCTAAATCCTTGATTCAAAAGAAAATGATATTACAAAGGTTTGAACACGAAATCTTCTGATATGATAGCTATGATAAATAATCTATCAATACTTCAATAGCGACTTCATCCTTTTCTTTACAACAATATACGAAGCATACCTTTTCATGGCCTCACTCTATTCTTCCATATTTATCAAACGAACTCCACACTTTTTTAGTTCAACATTTGGAATAACCGTTTGATTGTGATTAATGTGGAGCAAGAATCGAAACTCAATGTGGTCTAACTTCTTCATCAGAGTTGTAGTTTGAGGCAAGACCGACATCCAAATGTGGTCTAACTTCTTCATCCCTGAAATATTGAATGTACTAACAATAATATCTTCATTGTTTAAATTTGGGTCGTTCCGGTCTTTTTCAGTCACATATGCAATAATGACGAAAGGAACATCGGTGATGTCGTTTTTGTTGCTCGATCCACAAACAACGCAGAGCACAAAGCGACCCATGTCAGCGCTCGGCGCGCCATGATCCCACTCGACGCATATCGAAGAACCCTTTTTTGTCATCGTGAACCAATCTGGAATCTCGCTCCCGGGAACCATGATGTTGAAGTGTCCTATTTTGAAGAGCATCTTCTGCATCCAAGAAATGATGAATTTATGGAGCCATTTGTTGTCAGCCCATTGGCAACAATTCAGAAGATTCACTTCTATCATGAAATGTGAATGGTAAACTTTTGAAATGTCTAGAAAATCTTTCAACAAAATGCAGCCCTTTGACATCAACCTTGAGATCCTTGGTGGTAGCTCTGGGAAATGAGGAAGCTTTTCGCACTCGTTTATGTCCAATATTTTTAACTTACGGAGTCGAGAAATGCTCGTAGGAAGACGAGAGAAGTTATTGCCAGACAAATTCAGATATAACAACGACACCAAACACTCAATCCCTTCTGGGACTTCCTCAAGCTTGCAATCACTCAAATTTAGGCTTGTAAGAGAGTACAAACCAGCCAGTGATGGGATCCCAAAAATGCCACTCCTTGGAGCTTTCCATAACCAAAGTAAAATCTTTCTAAAGATATTGTCTCCGTCGTCCCTTCTTCTTCGTTCGATTCCTTTCACGTCGAGCTCTGCCGTTTCGACGTCGCCCCGCTTTTGTTTTCTTTTTTCGAGCTTCGAACATCCCGAAAGATTTAAGCTTTTTGAGAGATGTGATCTTATCCAATACGTTTGAAATGTTGATAAGATTTTTGCAGTTGGTTAAACTCAACACTATTAGGCGATCCAAGCTTGCTATGGATGAAGGTAGGCTTGATATGGAGGTTCTATCTAAATGGAGTTCCAGTAATATATCTGTGTTGCCTGAAAATTCTGGGATCTTTTTGAGTTTTGAACACCCAGAGAGAATCAAAATTTCAAGAGCTTTGAGGTTAATTTTGGTTGAAAAATTGGTGAGATTGATGCAATCTTTCAAACTCAAAAAAGTGAGTTCTTTTGCGGTGAAAATTGATGGATGAATGTTGACCAAATTTGTGCAATCTTCAAGCTCCAATCTTGTGAGATTTGGAATAGTTTCAAAGTTGGGAGTTTTGGACAACTTCTGAGAATAGTTGAGTTTGATATACTTCAGCTTCTCGAAATGCTGTCAAAGAGTAAAGATTGATATCAATTTAACACAAGAACAACATTTATGGGTACACATATAGTATGAGATTGCTACCTTTTCTCCATGCCAAAATTGCTTCAAATTGCTGTGGCACATGTGAAGCTTAATAAGCTTATATTCTTCAGAATTCAATACCAAAATCTCCATGGGATATCCTTTCCACTTCAAATATCTCAACTCACTTGGAATGCAATATTCCAACTCATTTTTCAGCCTCACATTCTGAAAATTAAGCAGTCTTAGTTGGTGCATTCTTGAGAACGAAATTGGAAACTCCACAACGTTTTTTGTCGACTTGAATAATATGCTTTCAACCGATGCTTCTCTAACCTGAATTCACATCACACCAAATCAAGTTAATGATTTTTCAATGTTTTTAAGAATTTAGAAAGTCACTCCAAACAGAACGACAATATATCTTACCATGCTTTTAGTATCCTTCTGGCGCCATAGTCGATCTTGAATAGGTTTATGACGAACAATTTTTCGACCCATTTCTTGCAATAAATCATGCATCCTCAATTCATTGTCACAAGAGAGAGTTAAGAGAGATTTTTGAATGAGACGATCAACCCTTGTTTTGGCATGGAAACCACAATCATGTAGAATCTCTTCTACAAGCTCGTTTCTCTTCCCCTTGAAGAAGCAAGCAACGTCTAGAAATATCTCTTTCTCCCACTCATCTAACCCATCATAGCTTACTTTAAGACACTTAAAAACTTTGTCATTCAAGCTCTTCTATCACATACTTCCAAACCCTCAAATCTTTGTTTCTTAGAGATGATCCCAATCATTTGAGTGCAAGAGGGTGGCCTCCCACTATCTTGACAATGATCTTGGAGGGTTCTAAGCAATCTTCTTTTGCACAAGCACTCAAATTAAGGAGATGAAGGGCTTCCTCGGTTGTAAGTTCTTCCATTTTAAAAATTCTTTTCACTTCCAACTCGTTGGAAAGTAAATTTGCGTTTCTTGTTGTGATAATGATTCTACTGCCATCTCCAAAAGAGTCTTTGTTTGGAATCAATTCCGTGATTTGGTCTGAACAATTCACATTATCTAGGACAAGAAGAATCTTTTTTCGTAAAATCGCTTGATTTATCATAACAATTCCTTCGTCAACATCCCATATGTCGTTGTTTTTAATTGAAAACATCCTTGAAAGGAGTTGGCTTTGTAAATATGGAAGACAAGAGGTTTCAAATTTCTCTTGAACATTAGAGATGAAGCAATGAGCTTCGAATTTGTCGCGAATTCGCTCGTAACAAACCCTAGCTATTGTTGTCTTACCAATGCCACCCATTCCATGAATTCCTACCCATATCACATCCTCATCGGAGTTAGGATTCAAAAGAGAAGAAAGTTTGGTTAGTTTAGGATTGATTCCAACTAATTGGTGTTCTTGAGTGACTTTCAAAGTTGGCTTGATTCTATTCCATAGGATGGTTGTAATTTCTTCTATAACTTTTGATTCATGTGTCCTAAGCCCAACAAAATGGAGCACAAGTAAATAAGTAATGTTATAGGCAACCATAACATAAATTGATTTGTAAATATAGCTAATCAAATAGGTAGATTGTTTACCTATTTCTATCATCATAGATTTATAATTGATTAGGTTAATTAATAGAATTATCATATTATGAAAGTGAGTACAGCCCTATTTTCAAGTTGATCATGTTAAAAAAAATAAAATAATAAATAAATAAATTAAATTGTCCTGTCGACCAAATTTTTTATTTAAAAAAAAAATTAATAATAATAATAAATAGAGAGAAAAATAGGAAATGCTAATAAAATTTTATAATTGGGAGGTGGGGGACAAAAAAAAAGTTATTTATTATTTTATGTAGCGAGTCAACGATATTGTTTTGTGATAAGATTATGGCTGCCTACAACGTCACTCATTGTTTGAAGATAATGTCAACGATGAAAATTCGACTAACCCAAACTATCCAACTCAAATCATAAAAAGCTGAGTTGTGTTAGATTTTTCTTCGTTTTGGATTTGATTGAACTTTTGAAAAATTGAAAATTCGAGTGGATTTGGGAGTTAACAATTTTTTGATCGGGTCAACCCCAAAATAGAGATCGGGTATTGTGAACTCTATTTGAGTTAGTCCGGTCATCAACCCAATCAACCGACAACTTTCGAATTGGTCCTAAAAAAAATTTCAACCCTACCCAATCCAAATGACTAGTAGTTAATGTAAAAATTTTGAACCTACCTAATCCAATCTATAAAATTAGTTTAAAGAAATTTGGTTAAAAGGTAAAAGTAAAAATTATGAAAAAGATTCAGAAATGAAGACGATTGATGAACGACTTCCCCTAATTGTTTGGCCAACTCGCTACAATAATTCTATAAATTTCTATGAACTCGCTTAAATATCATACTTGTAAACTTTACCAATGAACTTGCTTATGTTAATTTATTTATTTATTTATTTTATTTATTTATTTTTAATGAAGAAGACATAAAAAAATTGGAAGAAATTGATTTTGTTACCAAGGTTGGGAAAGCCAAGCTTTGAGGTTGGCGAGGTGTGTAAGAAGGTGCCTCCATTTCTGGATGTTGGGGTTATGTTCTCCAAATCTGAGTTCATGTTTAGCAAAAGCTTCTGCAAATGTTCCTGTCTGCTTCCGAACATGAGAAGGATCCACTTTATAAAAGATTGGCAACACCAGCATCCCAAGCCTTTGGTGGCACTCAAAGATCTTATCCAGCTCCTCAAGGCACCACCTTGACGAACCGTAGTTTTCTGAAACCACAACGAGCGCGATTCTGGATGCTTCAATGGCGGCCGACAGATCGGTAGAAATGTCGGCGCCTTCTTCGATCTCGCCTTCGTCTCTGAAGGTGGAGATTCCTTGGTGTATTAAGGCTTTGTAGAGATGATCTGTGAAGCCGCCGCGGGTGTCTTCCCCTCTGAAGCTCAAGAACACATTGTATTTCCATTTACCATTTGAAGAAGAAGAAGAAGAAAGCATCATGGGTTTGGTCTGATCTGAGCAGCCTTCAAACCAAATGTGTTGTGTGTGAGACTTCTCTCTATCTAAAGGGCCTTTAATAATTCAACTCGCTTTCCCTTCCCTACTAATCCTTCTTTCATTTATGGAGAAAAAACGATAAGTAGACGACTTAATAGGATAAGTCGTAAAGTCAACTAAAAATAAATATAAATACTTTAGGTAGGTTCCATGATCTTTAATGTAGTGTGGTCGTCAACCGACACCTTCACTTGAATATATAAGAGTAGCATGTGTGTTAAGAATGATGCTCTGATATCATATTAAAAATGAGGAACAGAAGTGGGATCGAAAGTCCCAAAAACATAGGTGGGATCAAAAGTCCAATATTCATTAATGTTAACAACGTTTAAATTGGATAACAGATACCGACTAAATCTTAGAGATAAGACAAAATATATCAAACATACTATTAACCCAAATCCTGAAAATAAGGAAAAAAAATTTTAATGGATTACAACTATATAAAATATATTTCAATAATTCCAATAATGTGACTCTACTATTCGGTCCATCATTTAAAATCGTATTCACTTAGGCAACTTTTTAATCCGGGTCATCGGATGTATAGATTTACTACTTTACATACGACCCATATGTGCAAATATGGACCCATAAGGAACATGATGAACATTTTTCTTTTACACCTACTAGGACTCGTACGGGTTAGGCTAGCGTCTTTGGTGCTATTGCTGGATACCTAGAAGGAACACGATGAACATTTTTCTTTTCTTAATGTATGCATTCGTATTCATTATAAGGGAAAATATTTCGGTGCATGTGGCATATTTTTATGCACGAGGTCCCGATGTTTTTACCTAATTATATCATTGAAGACATCCCCTCTATCTTTATTTTATTTCATTTATAGCATATTCTTCCAAACATGTGAACACGTTGAATTTCCATGTACCAGTTGAACCAAAAGAATAAAGCAGCCTTTGGGTTTGGTCTGATCTGCACAACCCTCAAAGCCTTTGGGGCTTTAATAATTCAACTCACTTTCCCTTCCCTACTTGTCCTTTTTCTATTATTGATTTGTGGAAAAAAAAAACAATAAATTTTGTCTTTTTTATTTTTTTATTTTGTCCTTTTGATTATTTTATCTATAAACATAAATAAATATTTTTATTATAGTAATTGGGTTGCCGTGTACATGCTCAAAAAAAAAAAAAAATAATAAATAAAGAGAGGCGTCAGGTGCGTTCAAGAAATTCAAAAAACTCATTGAGAACTAGTCTGATCACAAGTTGAAAACCTTGCAAACCTAGGGAGCGGGAGAGTTCTTATCCCAGAACTTCTCAATGTTTTGTGAAGAAGAAGGTATCAATCGTCAACTCACCGCACCGTATAGTCCATAACAAAACGGTGTGGTCGAATGAAGAAATCGAACTATAATGAACACTACAAGAAGCTTATTCAAGAGTATGCAAGTTCCAACAATTTTCTGAGTCGAAGCAATACGACATGCGGTTTATCTTCTAAATCGTTTATCGATAAAGGCGTTGGACACTTGCAGCCCCTACGAAGCATGATTCGACAAGATACCTCACTTCGAGTACTTAAGAATCCTCGGTTGTACAACACATGGACTCCAAAACCATATATTAAAAATCTTCATGACAGAAGCCAAAAGATGGTGTAGTCTGAGTCAGATAAAAGCCTTGTGATTTTTCTTTTTTTCTTTATTTAGTTTATTCACGTTTTTCTTCCAACATGCTTCCATATTTAGAGGAGAGTGGGGGCAAGTTTAGCATAGGCCACTTAGGTCATTTTTAGCGTAGGTTTGTGTTATATATACAACAATTAAAATGAGGAATAAATGTACTGTTTTTTGCAACAAGATTTACAGTCTTTTCGTCTACAACATATTTGTGATCGCACTGATGAAGAATCCAGTGTTTCACAGACGCAGTAAACACATTAACATTAGCTTCCACTTCATTTGTGAGTGTGTTGAGAAGAAAAAAATCTTTGTGGAGTTTGTATGCACTAGAGAGCAACGTGCAGATATTCTAATCAAGGACCTAGCAAAGGTTAAGTTTGCAGAGATACGGAAATTCCTGAGAATGAAGAATCTTTGTGAGTTAATAAGCTTGACTTACAAAAATAAGTTATTAACCTAGAGAACTTTAGGATAATTATTCAGTACTTATTGATTTGAAAGTTTAGGAGATATCAGGAAGATTTAGTAGTTATTGATTTGAAAGTTAGGAGATGGATTAAAAAGATTTTATAGTAGTAGCTTAATTTTAGGAGAAAGATTAGGAACTTGAGGAAGAAGTTTATGAGATGAGTTGTGCAATCTCCACCGTAAATAATCGTGAGATGTATATTATTTCAACAACAAAAAAATAGAATAAACCATACGTACTTAAGGGTTCCTCTATTCAAAAGCTCTCTCCCATCATGTTGTTCTTCCGCTTCCATTATTTGTTTCGACATATTTCGATCGTGGGCAATTTCCAACAATCTTGAACAATGTCAAGTTCACGGAGGAGATTGTGAGTTTATAAACTTGACCTTGTAGAATAAATGATTAACTTATAGAGCAACCTTACGAGAATTGTCAGTACTTAGTAGAATAAGTTATAACTTATAGAGCAATTATAGGAGAATTGGCAGTAGCTGCCAAATTATGGACCAAGTTTTGTGGTTGTGGACTAAGTTTTATGCGTCAATTAGAAAGATCGTTAGAGGTTCTTATCTTGAGAAGAAAGTCGTTAGTGGTTATTATCTTGAGAAGAAAGTTTAGAAAACTAGTTAGTGCTTTCTCCACTATAAATACTCATGAGATTATGCTTTTTCACAACAAAAACAACAAACAAAAGTGAAAAGCTAAGTACTTAAGCTTTCTTTTCTCCAAAAGATCTCTCCCCTCAAGGTGTTCCTTTGCCTCTTTTACTTGTTTCGACATAATTTCGATCAAGGGTCACATCCAACATAGTCAACACAATGCTCAGTTCCTCGGTTCAGTAGCCAGTCGGCTCTTGGGTTTAGTGACCAGTTTGTTCTAGGATTGAGTCTTAACTCTTGTTTCAAGCACTTGATAGTCGGTTGTCTCATTTTTTTCAACGTCGTCCTCAACACTCAGTTGAGCCTTGTCTTATAGAGTCCATGGCGTTTAGCACTTGTAGTTGGTTGTCTCTGTCACAATATCTCAATGCTCAAAAGTGTGAATAAATATAAAATTATTATTACTCAAATTAGATAATACAGAGACAAGCTAAAATAATGACTGTGTTTGTGTTTTACTAAGCGTAAGGCTCCTATTTAAACTGAAATAAATCCTATAAATAACTCCTAGAAACTTGACTCATTCAACTAGTAGTAAGTTGCACTAATTGTGACGGCCTCCTCCCTTCGTGCAAGCTTATTTCTCAATAACTCCGAGAGCCTTACTTCAAACTTCATTTTGTTTCCCTGTTGACAGCTTGCCTTCTTGTTTCTTCTTTAGGAGTTTCTCTTTTTCTCTTTCCTTTTTCTTACACTTTTTTTCTTCCCAGCTGCAGCCATTTCTGTGCTCTCTTCTTCAGCTTCTTTTTCAGCTGATGCATCAAGAAGCGTT